AAACTGATCAAGAACTGTGTGCACCTGCTGCCACCACGATGTGATGCGACCTCTCAACGGTGATGTCCTCGCCTTGGTTGGCTGGCGTACGTCTTTGGGTCGGAGGTTAGGCCCGCCAGCGCGCCCGCGCGTTGGCAAAGCTTCTGAGCCCACTGTGGTGACCCTGAATCGTGTGTTCCACTGCTGTGACCCAGACTGCGTATTGCGCGGAAACTGCCTGAATGAATGAGCCACCAGCCGAAAAGGCTACGGATTGAGGGATGGGTTGCCGCGCCTCGTGCTGTGTGCGCCCACAGGCTTCAACCTTCTGTCTATGTATTTCCCAGGTTTCGCTGGGGATGTGACACTCCGGAGTGCGCCCCTTGCCGGCCACGTCTGCGGGGTTGGCGCATGAACTCTGCCCTTGTGCTGCGGGGGTGGTGGTGATTATGTTCCTGCGCACTCGGCCCTGGATGGAGGCCTGGGCCCGACGTGCCTTCAGCGGGGGGGGGCGGAGGGCGAAGGAGGAGTGACGACGACTTCGGGGCTGGTTGAAATAAGAGGATTGAAACAAGTTTCCTCGGCCCACGGGTCATCTTCGTCATCTTCGGGATATAAAAGTTCGTCGGGCACAGGCTCAAATTCTCCGATCTGGGGTTCGGAAACAGAAGCCGCCGCTGGCGTCGACTCTTGGGTGTCAGACGGGCTTGCTTCTGAGAGAAGGGCTTCGAATAACTGAATCCTACGCTGTTGAGACTCCTTCTTAACAGTCTGGGCCCTAGCTCTGGCTCGGGAGGCCTTGGAGCCTGGAGTGTGCGTGCGTGTGTGTGTGTGTGTGGGGGGGGGGGGGGGCAGGGCGAGACGTTTGCGGGGGCCTAGCAGGGGCCTCCAGTGCCCTACGCAGAAGCTGCTTGCCTGAGGCTCTGAGGGTGAGCTTGAGGCCTACATGGGCCTTCCAGGGCACTTGAGGCACGGACTCGAGAGCAACGATGTACGGAAAACAACTTTCACTCGCAACAATGTAGACAATGAGTGGGCCATCTGCACTGGCGCTGCAACTGGTGATGATCGATCCTGTAATGACGGCACCACCTACTCTGCGAATGAAATCAGACTGTGCGAGCCGCTGCGCAGGCGCATTGAAGTCTCCCACGATGAGCCAGGGAAATCGGAGCGAATTTACCAGGGCTCCAAGACGAAGATACCTGTTAAGATTGGGGCCTGACAGGCCTACGCCTGAGAAGCCGTAGGATACACTGAACACTATACTGGATCCTTGAAAATGAGCGAGCGACGCGACGAAGCCATCACAAGCCCGATGAGGCTTGGCCAGCAACCCTGCATGCTGTGCCTCAGCAAGCGGGCGCACGGCCCGCTGCCCAGCTGTGAGCAGTCATTCGCCGCCCTTGTTGGCATGATGTGTGTGAGACGGATCTGCCTCTGCATTGCCCGTCGGCCTGGCAACGTTGGCGATGCTATTCCTGCCCTGCTTACGAGCTTCGCACTTCCACTTCGAAAGAGCGTCATTGCCCACGTGAGTCTCTGCAAAGGCCCAAAATTGATGCGCCTGTTTATTGTCCACTAGATATTGCCAATCAGCGTCGCCCACGACAGTGACGTTGGCGAAGGAAAAAGCGAGCATGTGCCTCCGTCACCTTGGCTGCCCCGCGCCAGCGCCTCCGCATCCACGGTGGGAGCTGAGGTCGCTGGCGTCGCTGCCGCTGCGGACGAAGATGGCGTGGCCGTAGGTCCTGGACCCCTCGGACAGGTAGCCCACGTAACCGAAGGAGTGACTGGCTGACTTAATGAAGCGAAACTGCTGGATGGAGCTGGGATGAGCTCGTCCAGGACTAGGGTGACTGGGACACTTCACGCAGTGTCGACGCTGAACCCCTCACGAGGTCTGAGACTGCCATCAGCGACTGCATCTGCCTCAGACCTCTGCCACATATATCACTTCTGCTGTGCCCCTGCGGGGTCGGCCGTAGCGCCTGCTGCACCACTGGCTGCCGTCCCCGCCTGAGGCGTCGTGTCCTCGCGCTTCGCCTGCATCTCTGCGAACTTCTTCTGAGACAAAGCTTCGGCCGCTGCTTTGAGCTCGGGCTCCGTCGGCGCCTGCGCTGGGCCCGTGCCGCCTGCGGCGCCTGTGGCTCCTGCGCTGGCGCCTCCTGGTGTGCCCGCGCTGGTGCCTGCCTGGCTGACGCTGCCTGGCGGCGGCGCGGGCTGCCCGTTGGCGGCCTGGTCCGCAGCCTGCTTGCGCTTCTTAGTGAGCCTCTCGGTGACCTGCATGTGCAACTTGCGCGCCTGGTCCAGGCGCTCCTTGATCACGCTTCCGCTCTCTGCGAACCTGGTTTTGTACTGTCTGAGCTCTTCGGCAATCTTGAGCAAGCGCGACCGCTGCCTGCTGCTCGCGCTCCTCGGCTCTGGCAAGATTCTCGCGGCACTTCAATACCATGGATATGGACTGCTCGTGCTTGAGGCTGGTGTCCCGCCGCGCGCCCGACGTCTTCTTCACCTGCTCCTCTGGAGTGAGAGACGGCTGCGCGTGCTCCAGCAAGGCCTGGGCTGCAGATGCCGCGGCATGTTGTGGAGCTGCGCCGGCTGCCAAGGACGTGGTGAGGGTCCTGAGCAGCTCGCCCTCCTTGCTGTTGGTGTTGGTGGCCGCGGGGGCGGGGCCTTGGTCCAGCAGCTTGGAGCCGTCCTGTCGCTTGTCCTTGCCCTTGTCTCCATGCTTGGTCTTGGCGTGCAGCTTGACGGATGTTCCGCACTTGCCGCATCTGCCCTGTCTCCTGGAGACTGCATCGTCCCAGTCCCAAGTCTTGCACTTCTGGCAGGTACTCCAGTGACTGTTCTGGGCGGGCATCACGTACTATGAGATTTGCACAGCTTAGCCACTGCTCTGGCTGATCACAGGATCGCTGGAACAGTGCCACTCAAGCACCGCGGTGAGGTGCTGTGCTGGACTCAGGGCTGCCAAAATGGGAGTTCTGAACCCAAGTTGCTTGAGAGAGGAGGAGGAGGAGGACGAGGAGGAGGAGGAGGAGGAGGAGGAGGAAGAGGAGGAGGCGGAGGAGGAGGAGGAGGAGGAGGAGGAGGGAGGAGGAGGGAGGAGGAGGAGGAGGAGGTGGAGGGGGAGGAGAAACAGGAGGAGGTGGAGGAGGACGGGTCGCTTAAGCTCTTTCGAGAGACCCTCCAGCGAGGGGGTCGCTTCTGCCGCCCCTCGCATCCTGGCCCCTCGCAGCCGGGGAGGGCGGGCGCGCCCGCGCCATAGCCGCCCCCGCCGCCGCCCCCCGCCGTCAGCACGTCCTCTGGGCTCTGGAGGAAGAAGGAAGGGCATACACATAATAATGTTGTCCCCATCGTCGCACTTAGGGTTAAGTCGGGCCTGTCCCCCTACAGGGGGATGTTCGACGAAAAATAAAACATACACCAAAAATAACCCAAAAATATGTCCAAAATGGTCTGGGGACTATTTTTTAAATACTTTTGGACCTTTTGGGGGTGTTTTTGGGGTACGTTGTATTAGTCGTCGGAAATCCCCCTGCAGGGGGACACGCCCAACATAAACGTAGGGACCATGACACCAGAGAAAACCCCGATCAGTGGATGGTTTTAAATGGGGTCGATGAAGAGATCGATCAGGAGATCGACCGGGAACCCAGGACCCCGGAGCCCACCGAAATCGGCCCCAAACCAAGGACCAAGAACCTGGGAACCCGGAGCGGGGAACCCGGGAACCCAGCCGGCCACCCAAATCGGCGGGAAACTTTCGCCAAATCTTTCAATTGCCGCTAGGACCCCTTCAGTGCAAGCACTGATTGTGGAAAAACGGCATACACATAATGCTGCTCCCATCGTACGTAAGGTGACTACATCCCAGAAATAATTTCGAGCTCCCAGAAAAGTTACCAAACAGTGTCGAACGAGTATGGCCTCCCAGGGCCCGACACGTGCAAACCCTCAAGTTTCGGAGCTTTTATTTCTGGTGACCAAGGCTAAAGTCGGCTGGTGATCAACCATCAACTTTTTGCGCTCTGCGCGGATGCTTGGATATGCGATGGACCCCCCTTACTGGCGCGCGGAGCGCCAGGGGCGGCGCCGGAGGCGCCGCCCCAAAGGAGCCCAGCGCGGATCCAAGAAACCCGTGCGGAGCGCCAACAGTTTATGTTTATGGCGATTTTTCTTCTTCGAGTCTGAGGGGCAACGATAAGGGGGGACTGGCATAAGGGGGAATGCATCGACCTGGAATCGGCGATACATCGCCGATAGATCGGCGATAAGCCCCCGATAGTGAATCCGCACCTTCCTCGGCAGGTTGGGGCTATCGGGCCCCCCCATCGGCGATCAGTAGGCGATAAGGGATCGATGCATCCCCCCTTGCGCCTATCCCCCCCTGCCGTTGCCCCGATTTCTCTTCGTCGAGTCCATGCCGTACAGCATCACGCTCGACCGCCCGCCGCCCCCGCCGGCGCCGTAATTGTCGGTGCAGCCGCCGCCGCCGGCGCCGCCGCCGCCGTAGGCGTTTGTGGGGCAGCCGGCCGCAGGCTCCGGGCCGGCCTCCCCGACGACGACGGTGAGCTGCTCCGTGCCAGCGGGGAGAGTGATGGTGGCCTAGGAGGAGGCGGAGGAGGAGGAGAAGGAGAAGGGAGGGGGAGGAGGAGGAGGAGGAGGAGGAGGAGGAGGAGGAGGAGGAGGAGGAGGAGGAGGGAGGAGGAAGAAGAGGAGGAGGGAGGAGGAGGAGGAGGAGGAGGAGGAGGAGGGGGGAGGAGGAGGGGGAGGAGGAGGGGGAAGGGGTGGGGGTACTGGTCTCTGTCTGTCTGTCTGTCTCTCTCTCTCTCTCTCGCTCTCTCACACACTTGTTTCACTTTGTCTCTCTCTCTGTCCCTCTCTGGTGCGCTTCTCTCTGTATAACCATGTAGATGCATATGCATAGATGTACACCTACGTATGCACATAAGCATCTACAGAGAGACGGGGACATAAATTGTTCGTGCGCAGATAGAAAAAAACACATGATGAGAGAGAGGGAGGAGAAGGGGTGAAAAAACAGAGAGAGAGAGAGAGAGGAGAGAGACAGAGACAGAGACAAAGGCAGAGACAGAGGGAGGGGAGCGAGACAAGCAGCAAGAGTGAGGCAGGGGGGACCCGAGTCACAGAGCACGGGGGGACGCCTGCGCCGATCTGGCAGGAGACCGCCCTGGGCCGAGGATCGGTGCCAGCACGCTCTCCTGGCCCTGACCGGGAGGGCATGCACAACGCTATACGCTCTCAGATGCAGCGTATTTTATATATCCACCCACACGTACAAAGGAACTGATGCACACATATAGAGCCCTCCTAGATGGGGTCGCAGTAGATGGGTTCGGAGGATCGCGCCGCATCGCCGATACATCAGCGATGCATCGGCGATGTATTGGCGATGCGCCAGCGATGCATCGTCGACGTGGGCGGTGTATCCGCGACGCCGACGTGAAGCACATCGGGCTCCATGTCGAGCCGCATCGCCGATGCATCGGCGATGCGGAGCGATCCTTCGACCCCATCTACCCCGACCCCATCCAGGAGGCCTAGAGGCATAATCCTGGTGAGGGGCAACGATAGGGAGTGATAAGGATAGGGGGGTAACATTCACCTGGAATCGGCGATACATCGCCGATAGATCGGCGGTAGGCCTCCGAGACTGAATCCGCACCTTCCTCGGCAGGCTGGGGCTGTCGGGCCCGCCCATCGGCGATCCATGGGCGATTGGGGGTCGATGCCTCCCCCCCGTGCGCCTATCCCCCCCTGCCTTTGCCCCTGACCTGGACCCGAGAGATCAGCCCGGCGAGGGCCCGGGCCGCTGCACGGTGGGCGCCCTCGTTCCGCGGAGAGGGCGGCCGAGAGGATACGGGCCGGGCGCGGCCTCGGCGTAGCCGCCCGCGCCGCCCTCGCCCCCGCCCTCCGCCGGCACGCTGCCCCCGCCGGCGCCCCACGCCTGCACGCGCAGCCTCGAGCGGCCCAGCGTCTCGTAGTGCTGGTCCTGGCCGCTGAAGCGGAAGACCTCTGCGGGGGCGGTGGGCCGTCCACGCCCACCGCCTGGGAGCGGACGTCCCCTGGGGGCCCCGCGGGCGGTGGAGGTGCCTGCGTGCTGGCCCCCAGGGGCCCGAACACTCCACACATCCACCGCCCGTGGAGGTCCACGGAGATCGATCCCCCCGCTCCTCCTCCTCCTCCTCCTCCTCCTCCTCCTCCTCCTCCTCCTCCTCCTCCCTCCTCCTCCTCTCCTCCTCCTCCTCCTCCTCCTCCTCCTCTCCTCCTCCTCCTCCTCCTTCCTCCTCCTCCCCTCCTCCCCCTCCCCCTCCCCCCTCCCCCTCCCCCTCCCCCCCCCCCCCCCTCCCCCTCCCCCTCCCCCTCCCCCTCCTCCTCCTCGTCCTCGTCCTCGGAACCTCGTGCTCCGTGACGGTGCAGGTGGCCTCCAGGGGCCGCGCCCAGCCGCTGGCCGAGTCCAGCCGCCGCGCGCACACGGTCGAGCCCTCCGTGACGGTGATCGCGAATGCGGCGTCCTCCTCGCCAGCCCGCCGCTCCCGTCCCCCGAGGAGGAGGAGGAGGGAGGAGGAGGAGGAGGAGGAGGAGGAGGAGGACGAGGAGGACGAGGAGGACGAGGAGGAGGAGGACGAGGAGGAGGAGCATCCTCGGAGCTCCAGTTCTGCTCGCTGGCACCAGCAGAGCTCCAGGACCAGGAGCTGGCACGCCGAGAGCCCTGGGACAAGGGAGGAGCAGAGAGAAGGGAGGAGGCAGCAGGGAGGAAGGACAGGACGGGGGGGAGGAGGGAGGAGCGGGAAGAGAGTGAGGAGGGGGGGAGGAAGGGGGAGGAGACAATAGAGGCTAGGGTGCGAGGGATGAGGACGAGAAGTAGGAGGAGGATGGAAGAGATAATAGTCAAGCATGGCGGACGGAATATTGGCGGCGAAGAGATAGGAGAAGGGAGGACCAAGAAGATGAAGAGGAGGCAGAGTAACGGCAGGAGGGATCGGGAAGGGGAGGAGCAATTCGCAAGAAGGTTCGCGAAGTCGAGGGTGAGAGATCATCAGGGTACATCCGCCACCGTGCCTCCTGGCACGCTGAGGCGTGGTAGAATGTCGAGTACTGTCTGCAATGGTTCCTGGAATCTTTCTAGGGACCCGCGCCCCTTCTACCTCGCATCCTGGAGCTCCCCCGGGTGCCCAGACGCCTCCCTGGCTGGCGTTCTCCAAGGGGACCAAGATGCCCAAGATGGGTTCCAAAATGACCCAGACCAGCCTCCAAGGCCACCGAGATGGCCCAAATATGCCTCCGAGGCGGTCCGAAAGGGCCTTAAGACTCCGCAAGAGGCTCTCAGGACGGCCCCCGAGGGTTCCGAAACAAATCCCGAAGAAACAACAAGCCATCGATTAGCCTTGGCTTCTGAACAATGTTTCGCATTCTAACCTTCTCGGGGCTTTCATCAGCCCAAGACGGCCCAAGGCGGCCCAAGGGGGCCCTCAGACGACGCCCAAGATAATCAAGAGGGCCCAAACACGACCCACCGAAAACGCCAGACTGCCTAAGAGCGCTTCAGACGGTACAAGGAGCCCCCAAGAGCATCCGAGGCGCCCCCACGGGGCTGCCAAGCAGTCCCAGGAGGCCCCCAAGAGTCCACCAACAGACAAGCCCCCAAGATCGTCAAGAGACCCGAGCTATCACACGTGGCGGCCGCAGGCAGGGGGGCTGGGGATGATTATGAGACGACAGGGGGAAGCGCATCACATCGTGGCCGAAGCAACCTGAGAGACTCTCAGAGGGACCCAGGTGGCTGCTTGCCCTCCTCCTCCTCTTCTCAAGGGGCCCTGGGACACACAACTGAACACACACGAATCCCAGGATGCACTACATGGTTCGATATCTTCTGGAATTTCGTCTTCCCCTCCGGTGCCCACAGTTTCCCATACTTTCCTGGGGATCGATGATGGATTCTGCCTGTGTGGTGTTCCCCCTCCTGGTCGTCGGCCTCCTCCTCCACCCGTCTCGTCATTCGGGTCACGATTTGACATCGGGAGCAGGAGGACTGAGCGAGGCAGGAAGAAACGCTAAGGAACAGAGGAGACACGCGGAGGCGGGGTGAATGCATGGAAGAGGGGGGGAGAAGGGAACGAGCGGGGAGGATGGGGGAATGACGCGGAGGAAGGAGGAGGGGAGGTGATCCTCATGGATACTCTCACGCAGCCAGTTGAGGGTCCCAGCTGGCCCTCTGGGGCTGCTCTGGAAGCCGTTTTGGCCTGCTTGGGCGCTCGTGGAGCACTCCGGGAGCCATTTCGAAATACCTCGGAGCACTTCTGGACCACATGCTAAGGGCCTACAGGGGCCGTGGCGGTGTCCCCAAGATGCCTTCGAGGGGCTTTCGAAGCACATCTTGGGATGAATCGAAGTCTCTTTGATTATGAGGGGCTCTGTAGACGCTAAACCGCTTGGAGCCACATCCGAGGAGCAAAACTTGTGGTGTTCACGCATGTTGCAGATGCTTGTCAGCTGAGGGTCCTTCAGGAACTCCCTGGCGGAAATATTGGGATCAGGTTAGAGCCTCGGAAACCCTCCTGGCATATGCTAGTTCTGGGGACCTTCTTGGAGCCACTCGCTCCACGCGTGCGTCGAAGCTGCGTCGCACGTCCGTCGACCCGAGTCGAACCAGAGTCGAACTTGAGTCGAACTGGAGTCGAACCTGAGTCGAACCTGAGTCGAACTTGAGTCGAACTGGAGTCGAACAGATCCCTTCGGTGGGCCCCCAGAAAAGGTCTCCAAAAAGAGCATCGATCTCTTGGGTTCACAGTCTTGGCAACGCAAGGAGGTGGCGGCAGGGGGCGGCTCATTATTAGGGCGCCCAGGAGATCGAAGCTGGGGCGGACATAAGGGCGACCAGGAGATCGAGGGTGAGGAAGAAAGTGGGAAGGGAGGACAAGGAGGAGATCCAGGATGACGATACAAACAAGAGGGGCACAGAGGAGGAGAAGCAGGAGGAGCAGAGTAAGAACGGCCGCCTCGGTAATGGCGGCTCCTGTATACACGATTGTCAGCTTATCTATATTCGCACCACTGTAGCCCAAGGTCATGATCTTGACTGCGTTTAGACCCGCCTGTAATACGACATGTTGTGTGACAACGTCCCATGTACTCCACGACCCCGTAGCGGGGAAGCTCCAGGAGCCGTCTTCGATGGCTGAGTTCACAATCAACCTCAAAGGGCGGTCCCCTTCTTCCAAAGCGTACGTAACCTTTAGCTCGTGGATCCCCGCTGTGCAGGCTTGGACTGTCCATAGTAGGGAAGCGCTGTATGAATCAAACAAATTGATGTATCCAACTCCAGAATATCCCCCGTTGGCGTTTTGGACAACCCCACCAGCAATTGTGGCATCTTCAGCTTCGTAATCACCAGAGCAGCTCGCATCCTGAATCCGCCGACCCGTATTAGGCGTGTGGCGACACACTCGTGCAGGCAGGCTCGTCACGCCCACCACTAGAAACTATGCGATGGAAACGAACAGAGTAGGTCGACTTGTCTTTATGAGGGGGAGGGGCTACGGGATGTTTGACAGATGGAGCACCAAGCCCTGGCCAGTCAACAGGAGCATGCCGACGTTTGCAAGGTCGCTTATGCCACCACCAACGCACAACCCATGATCACCCATGTTTGCTTACTGTTTGCCTGTCTACGTGTTCGTATGCTTGGCTGCCTGTCGGTCACGCTCTCTGTGTCGTTTCGTCCCTCGCTCTCTCGCTCTCTCGCTCCCTCTCTCTCGTCGTCTGGAGGCACAAGAGGGGACGCACGCTGTCTCTTCTCTCGCCACATCTCTATATCTGTATAGACCTATGTATATACATATACATGTGCATGTATCTAATCACACAAAACAGCAAGCGACACACTGCATGTCTATGTGCATGCATATATGCATCAACCACTATCTCGCTCGTCCGCCCAGTGTCTGCCTGTCGCTCTCCTTCTCTCTCCATCCCTCTCTCTCTCTCCCTCCATGCCTCTCTCTCTGCCGATGTGTACGTGCCTATACGTACAAACCATCTACAGTCATTGGAGTGTGAATGTGTATGCCTATGTGTATGGCTCTCCCACGGTTGGTATACATACATATAGGTTAAGAGATAAGTTGAGGTCGATGTATGATATGGAGTCCATCCATCTCTCTCACACGCTCTACCCTTCGAGATCTGACAAACAAAATAACTACACACCGACACTTCTTATGATATGAGGGGGTGTGGTACAGGCGCGTATCAGCAACTGCGCGATGTGGCAGAACAGTTAGGCTGTCACGCCGCAGAGGCCATAGAAGCGACAACAACAACTCGCCGTTGGCCACTACGATGATAAAACGTGGGACACACTGTCTAGTTTGTCTATTGCTGTAGTGTGACATTGACTCGTTGGGGGGAGGGGGGGCGCAATATATGTACAGAGACAAGGTAGCTGGATCAGTCCCAGAGGTATCGCCCGAGGCTTGTAATATTTATATATATATATGTATATACATATATATGTATATATATGTATATATACACGCATACGGAATACAACACGAACGCACAACAAACTCGATGGCGAAGCGCGCCCCAAGGCGTAATCTGAAGGCTCGATGCCGCCTGAGCAGTACAGGTCGGAGTTCAGCTGGGACGACCGCGTCCCCCCTGCGCCCCTCGACGCACAAACGACTTTTGACTGACGGCAAAGGGTGCAGAGACCACCACGCAGTGATAGACAACCGGGCTGCAAGCCAGATGCTCCAGGCGCATGCACAGACGTGGTGCAGCAGGCACTCTTAGCCACACGGGCTATGTGGTTCCCATCGTACTTAAATACAACATCCCAGAAATAAGTTCGAGCACCCGGAAAAGTGTCGAACCAGTGTCGAAACAATTTCGGACGAATGTCTCCCAGGGCCCGACACGTGAAAACCCTTGAGTTTCGGTACCTTTTTGGTGCTCGAAAGTGGTGATCAAGACTAAAGCAAGTTGGAACAGCATAACAGAAGGGGAACAACTTGGCAATGCGAAGTTTGCTAATTTCGGTCCGTGTCATCATCCGTGTGCTGTCGATCCAGCCATGCTTCGCTGTGCAAGACGTGGCGACGTTGTACAATGGCCGCCTCGTTACTGCTATGCGCAGATTCGTGGCGGCACTGAACAACCTCGTATAAGTTAACATGCACGTGCAACGACACCTACAGTGCGGGCGTGGCCGCAAGAAACTCTCGCAAGAAACCCAACCCTGAAAACCCGCGTGCGAGGTCCACCAGAGAGGAAACCTGGAGCACCCTGAACGCAAAAGCTTCTCCAACGGCTGCGGAAGTCACCGCGCAGCGCGTGGAGCGAAGAAACCCAGGATACCCTGACGAAAAGCAGATGGTTTCTTGACGCGCGCCCCCGCTGTATCTGAAGTCACTGCACCGTTCCTCCGTTGCCGCCTCTCCTCCTGAGCATCACCTACACTCGCCCCGCCGGGTGGGCCACTCATCAACAAAGATATCGCTGGCGACACCCGCTACAAGTATACAAGAATCGCATCTGTACTGCACACAGGCACAATTGCGCGTCTCGGGACGCGCAGGCAAAGCGTGTTCATCTTCCTCATCCTGGCGGCTGCCTGAAAATCCTGGGGCATGGGGCAACAAGAGACATCAACGCATGGTACAACAGCACGCGACGCCGTCGGGAAGATGGTCGTGGTCCCCAGCAAGCCAATGGGTACAGTCGTCGCAGCTGTCCAAAGGTCATCGCCTTCTGAGCATTCATACCGGATCTGGGATACCGAGTAATCGTCATACGTGGTCAACTGTGCCACATCGATTCTATTGAGAGGGATCGTGGAGCCCAAGTCCAGTACTATCCACTGAAGACCGACCCTCCCTGCATCAAAACAAGAAGTGCCTAATCCAACAATGCTGTCGTCGGAAAACCAATCACCCGCCCAGTACGTCGTGAAGTCGCCATCAACAACCTGGCTTCCTGGGAAAAGCCAGTGCTCAGTCGACGTTGAGTGAACGCTTGCAGGGACTGAATGTCCGCTCGTATCCTGGAACACTACCTCAGCTAAATCCCAAGTGTAGGAGCAAGAGCTCGCTTGGATGCTGTCTCCATTGCTGATGCGATAGTATCGAAACCCTGCACCCGGGTCACAGGCCTGGGCGTAACACATGACCAACATTATCACCGACGATGTCGACCTGTTTATTCGGAGCAGTCTCGTTAATACCGTACCCTGGGCCCCGATTCGCGAGCCATTCTCAGTACAGCACTCCCCCTTCATCCCCCTTTGAGCATGTTAGCTCCATTCGAAGCTTGCGAGTATGTTTATTCATTCGGCGTTGCGACATTGGGCGGAAGGGGGGGGGAGTGCGACTGTTTGCGACAGTGCGTCCTATGAGGGGAGACTCCGCTCGCTCGACACAGGCGCCAAACAACAGTAAAGATCCGCTGCAGGCGGGGGGAGGGGTGGTTGGGAGCCCGCGCCGATCGGCAAAACGAGGAATAAACACGATCACCTTCTCCCCCCTGTCACCCCAATTTCAAATGAGAACTGCCCCTTCCCCAGGTTGTCTGCGGGCAAACTTGCTTCCGGAGTGATGACATGACTGAGGTCGCCCACTATGCTGCCAACGTGCCCCGAGAGGTGCAGAGCGCGGCCCACGACGGCCCTAGATGACACCAGCGAGGCCCAAGAGGGGAAACGGGGGATCCAGAACAAACGTTAAGTGTCACTGCACCGATCTTGCAGACGTGCTGCAACGGGCTTTGTTGATTTCTGTCCGTGCAAAATCGCGAAACGGCGACTGAAGAACGAAGCGAAGTTCGCGTGGATTATTTTTAGTCTTCATTCCTGGCCAAAAGAAAGCCATCCGAAATTCACCTCGAAATCCTGAACGAAATTATCCAGGACACTCCTGGCCCATCCTATCGTTTTCCGAGCGAAATCACTCTGCGATGTTGGCACGATGAAAAATGTAGATCGACGCCGATTCCCCACCTAGTGTACACGGTGGTCAGGTCCGTCTCTACGGCCAATGGTGCACACCGCGCACCAACGTCATCCCCACGTGAAGATTATCCGAGTTCAGCGGGAGCAAAATAGTCCAGAAATCGATCCGGAGAACACAAAACTGCATCGCACTCGTCATCGTCATTGTCGTCGTCACCTTCGTATCGCAATCAGGGCGACGGGATCCGAACGGTCTTAACTATCACCAGGGTGTGGTAGCTGGATGGTGGTGGCCGCACTTTGGAGTCACTCCTGGGGAGCCACACATGGGAGTGCCCACATGGGATGCCCACATGGGGGGCCAAACATGAGGGGCCACTCATGGGGGGCCACCCGTGCTATGGGGGCCACGCATGGGTCAGCGGAGGGACAGTCGCGACAACGGCGGCGCCCCCAGGCGCTTTTCGCTCACGATTGGCATCCCGGAAGCCTCTCGCCGTCACGGCCAGGCCCGTCTCGAGAACGGGGTCGGGAGGAACCGGAGGGGGATCCAGGGACAGATTCTGCAGGGAGCTGGGCTGGGCGGGACAGCCGCCGTTCTCTTCCCTGCGCTCGGTCCATCTGCTCATCTCGTCGGCGGCGAGGCAGGGGCAAGCTCGGGGCTGGACAGACCCCCCTTTAGTAAAACGCGGTTCAGTGAAAACGGCCTGAGGCCCAAACCTGGTGGGCGCAAGCCTGAAAAATAACGGCCACGGCGCCCTCTCGAGAACCGAAAAAACGGACAATTCACCAATCGACGTGTCACCGTTGGGGGTCCTGTCCGCCCCCTGCAAGCGAGGAAGCAAGACGAGGGCGGCAGCCTTCGCTCCACGCGCGAGGGGCACAGCGGGACGCTGCGCTCGGGGGCACGCGCCAAGCCGCCCCCGTCACCCTGCTGCGCAAGCGCGGGGTGTGCTGCGCGCTCTTCCTGTGGACGGGGCGTGCTCACCGTCGCCCGGGCGGAGGCCGATGCAGATCAAACAAATGGAACGACCAATGTTTACCAGCCTCGAACGTATCGCTATCCCTAAGATCGACACGCCAAAAGGCGATGACAATCTTAGGGATTCGCCCTCAAAAAATAAGGGAATCCCTAAGATCGGCATCGTGATGAGGAGATGCCCAGCATAGGGACAGGGATATGTTCCAGGCTGGTAAAATGTAGCGCCAGAGGCTCAGAGGAATCCCAACGGCCCAGCAGGAGCCCAACACGGTCCCAAGAGAAATCCCAGAGAGCCCCAGAGATGGCTCGACAAGCTCCCTGGGCTGATAATGCATCAAGCGTGCCCAGGCTGGCGAGGAGGCGAGAGCTCCATTCAGGGCTGGAATGAGACGGGCATGGTAGCGCGGTCCGCGCTAATGCAAGAACAGAAATTCGGGCCGGGAGTGTCGCCAGCGCCGAGGTGGGAGCACTTTTGCTTGCTTCTGCTTGCCTGCTTTTTACTCGAGCTGGGAGTGTGGCCAGCGCGAAGATGGCAGCCACACCTCCAACCCGTAGACGTGGGCAGATACGGGCAAGCACCGTCCAAGCATCGGTGCGACCCGCTCCCAAGCAGGAGTCGCACAACAACGCCCGAAAATGATTAGCGCAGCCAGGTGCAGACACTCCATGTGGAACAAAACATTCGACAACCCCCCACTTGGGCCCTACCGCCAGCCCACACGACGAGCATAACTCGGGCGCATGACGGAAGAAACTGCCAGGGGCTGCGCGGCTCATGGGCTGCGCCAAGCACCGCGCCACAAACTTCGCCAACAGATGGTTGCGCCGCACGTCTCGCCGTCCGTGGGGTCGCGCCACGCGTTGCGCCGTAGACTGCGCACGCTGCTGCCGAACACAAACAGGCCCGCTGTCGTTTGCGCGCCAGAGGCTAGCTCCCGGTGGCGCCAGAGGTTGTGCACTCGGCGGCCCCAAACAATACCACCTGCCGTTGGTGGCGCCATCGTTTGCGTGCTTGGTGGCCCAAAACAAAACGACCAACGCTTGGTGGCTCCATACGTGGCGATCTCGGGGTTCCCGAAACAATATTCCGCTAACAAGCGCAACCAATCAGTCAATCAACTGTCTGTCAATCAATGAGCAGTCAATCAGCAAACTCCGCGAACAACACATACGGATACGGGCTGCCTCCAAAGTCAGACGCACAGAGCATAATTGATCATCCAACTGAAAGACATTATAGTATTGTTCGGCGGCGATCGAGGGGGGGAAGTGAGAAGGAGAATGCCTTTTCAGAGTGCGGCGGGACTTCTCAGAAACCCTCGAGCCTTCTGAGAGGTGGTTGGTGTCTTCGGGGAAGGCTTCGAAAACTTCTCAGAAGGCCGAGGGGCTTCCGAGCCTTCTGAGAAGGCCAGCCCCTTCTCACTTCCCCCCGTCGCTCGCCGCCGAGTTGTAAGGGTGCTCGTGCGATGGCCAGAACACTCTGCTGAGCACAGCCACGCGGCTGGCACCAGGCCAGGCTCATCACTCCGGCCTCGGAATGTGTCTAACGTTAGGTCGGGCGTCCCCCTAGAGGCAGATTGTGGGCGAAATATTAAAATTATCCCAGTGCGACCCTACCTAGGAGTTGGAGCCTCTAGGAAAGCAACATGCATGGAACATACGTGCACACACACACACACACATCCTAAATACATTCATACACATATACCTGCATGCATACATACAAATAGACATGCGTGCATGCATACATGTGCATACGTACATACATACAGACATACATACAGACAGGTAAACAGACAGACTGGCAGACAAACCTACACACATGCATGGATGCAGACATGCATACGTTCGTACATGCATACGTACGTACATGCACACATACATGCATGATGAGTGCATGCAGACATGCGAGCATACATATACAGCGCATGTACACATGCATGAACATCCATATACATATATATATGTATATATATAGCAGCAGCAGAATTAGTGGCTGCTGTGCTGCGCTATGCTGTGCTATGCTATGCTCTGCTATGCTACGCTGTCCTATGATATGCTATGCTGCGCAATGCTTTGCTGGGCTAGGCTAGGCTAGGCTAGGCTATGCTATGTATGGTATGCTGCGCTATGCTAAGCTGCGCTATGCTATGCTATGCTACGCTATGCTATGCTATGCTTTTGCTTTGCCTTCGCTTTTGTCTTCACTTTTGCCCTTGCTTTTGCTTTTGCTTGGCACCCAGGGAGCGCAACTGGGGGAGCCGCGCGTTTGCTTTTACCTTTGCTGTTGCTTTTGCTGGGCTCCCAGGGGACCAGGGGAACCGCCTGGGGCGGGGTGCACTGCCCGGCCCCTATAAGCTAGAGAGTAAGAACCCTTCTAGGCAGAGACTAGGTAGGGAAATACTCGAAACATTCCCCCAACTAGTCAACAAATCATCAAAACATAATCCCCGACTAGTTGCTTGTACTCTTCTTGAATGTTCCTCCTGTAGAGGGACTGGCCCGACTGAAGTCTAGCGCTATAGCGACAGCATCCTGCTGACCCGCGAGTGTGGCCAACGCTGCCGGGCTCCCCAGAGAGCGACGCGCCGCACCACCGAGAGCGGGACATCTGGGACCCCAAACGCGGGCCTGTCCCCCTACAGGGGGATTTTGGGCGAAGAATTGAAAAATACTCACAACATAGCCCAGCCTGGTAAAACAATACCCGACAAATCGTCCCCAGAGAATTTATGTAGTATTTTGGGATATTCCCCCTGTAGAGGGACAGGCCCACCTGAATCCTAGACTGGATACATGAGATTCCTCGCAAGGGCCAGTCTGAAGAATGTGTCGCACGTACCACGGGGGCTGCCGAATCCAAAACAAGCTAACTGGCGGACGCCTCAACGTGACTTCGCGTTTGATTTCGCTTTGAACGCAGCCGTGCAACCCTCGCGGCTCGATCTCACGTCGGGCATTGACCACGGTGCGCAAATGGCGCCACAGGCCAGGGCACGAGCGTCCGCGGCGCCTGCGTTGGTGGGGGAGCAGGCGTCGACGGTATTGCTGGTGTCGGTGGTGGGGCCGGCGTCGGCTCGCGAAAGAGGGAGAGGCAGAGATAAATAAAGAGAGAGAGAGAGAGAGAAATAAAGAGATCAATCCGCGGAGAGAGAAAGATGCCAGAACTGCAATTGTCTAGCAAGGACACGTACGCTCCCCTCCTCCTCCTCCTTCTCCTCCCGCCGTTCCAACCTTCGTATGTATTCCTCGATCTGGCAGCAACTCCTCGGAGCGCTGCGTGCATGATTGTGGCTCTCTCCTTGCTCGCCAAATCTCCAATTCTCCGTGCTCCAGTCCTCAATCTCCCCGCCTTTCGGAATGCAACGCGCATTCCCCCTGTCCTCTCGCTCCTCGTCCTCCTGCACCTCATGATTGTTATTATTTTATATGCCTCGTATCTGTCGGCGTCGTGATCGAATGGCACAGCGAATGCTCCCTGGAACGCGGCTTGTATTTGAACGCATCTCCTGACGCACTCTGGGTATCTTCTCGGTGCGTCCGGGGGCCCCAAGCCCAGGGGCTCCGTTTCAGGCGCTCGTGGAGCTGTAACCACATCGGAGCACCAAAACAATGTCCACCGACTCACTGTTTCGGCCCGTAATTATCTGGGGCGTCCATGTGGCCGTCTTGGCGCGTCTTGGGGTCCTCTGGGGGAGTACAATGGACCGGTTGGAGCTCGCTTGGACTATCCTGGCGATTTCTTGAGCCTGGCCACCTTGAACGTACACTGGCTTCCACTAGGACCCTCTTGGAGCCTTCGTTGACCGAAATTATGAGAGCCCCAAGAATAACAAAATGACATACTACGGATTCCGTTCGGCTCCGTCAAGCAGGCCGGACCTCTTAAGCGTGTTTTTTTCAGAGCCTTCCAGACCGCTTCAGCAGCACCGCTCCAAGGGAGCTCCAAGAGGGTCCAAAAGTCTGGATCAATGGGTGGCAGGCCCAAGATGGTTCAAAGACGGCCCCAAGAGGCTTCAGGATAGCCCCAACCAAGATAGCCCAAGAAAAATCCACGAGGGCCCCCAGAGGCTGAATTTCAATGGTTCCCCTTCGGTGCTTGAAGGATTTTGGTGTTACTGCCTTTTCGCACGTCGGACTGCCCAAGCAAGGCAGCTCAAGAGGCCCCCAAGATTGCCCCAGGAGGCTCCCAGGACGGCCCAAGAGGGCCCCAGGACGGTCCAAGAGGCCCCCAAAGAGGCCCCCAGAGGCCCCTGGCAGGGCCCCACAAGGGGAAGCCGAACTGCCGTCTGAAGCCCTTTCCCCCGAAAGGTAACCCCCGATCGGGCGACCGAAAGTGACCACAGTTACTGTTGAAATAATGTTTCCCGCACCTGTGTTCGGGGCAGCTGGCGCGGTCGAGCAGAAAAAGATATGTGGGCACGCGCAAACGCCGCCGAGGAACCTTGAGCATCCTGGGTTGAGGGTTTCACGCGTAGTTATCCTGGCGCCGAGAGGCCATCCCCCTTGCCCCGCGCCGCCCGCCGCCTGGGGACGGCCCTGTCCGAACCTCAGACGTCGACAGAACGAGCCCGCCCATCGGTGGTCACCGGAACACGCGAACGTACTGGAGAACTCGAATGACTACTGATCGCGGATTCAAATGGTCACGTGAAAATCGTCGGCACCGTCGCGTCCTGATTCGCGGGTGCCCGGGGAGTCCAAGCTGAGGGGTGGCTGGGTCTCCTGAAGAGAGGGGGTCTTGGGAATGCATTCCTCTCTGGCGCCAGGGCAACCGCCCTTCCGGGCCGCGCGAAATGGATCAACGATGGTTGCAGCGTTTCTGTGCCAGGACAACACTGAAACTCACTTCAGTGGTCGAATCGTCTCTCCTGACCCGAGACCGCCGCAAGGCGCCCGAGAGACTCTCAAGGCACCCGAGAGACTCCCCGAGAGGCTCCCAAGAGACCCATCGCACACTGAGTACAGGATGGGCCGGAGGGATGCGCGAAGCGATTCAAGTCGGCGGGCCCCCTGCGGGCCCTGACAGTGTTATCCTTCGAGGATAGATGGTGAAATGGAGGACGGTGGATGATCGAGAGCTTCAGCTGTCGAATGTTCTGTTGCAGGCTTTTCGGGCCAGGGAGCCTCACGACCACCTCCACATGCACAGCACATGTCCGACGGCGTGAAGTCGCTGTCCTCGTAGTAGCTTGCCAACTGCCAATTGCACAACCACTGCGTACCATATGGAGGCGCACAATCGTAACCATTTGGCGACAAAGCGCCGTCATTTGTGTCGACGCACCCACCCGCCTGCTCTGAGATTGTTAAAATGCTGCGAATCCTTAGCGTCAAGACGCTCTGCTCTGCTTCTCCTAATGATGCATGGCTCCATGTCGAGACTCCTTCTGCCAATCGTGGGACGATGTATGTTGACCTGGGCAGTCTTGCACGTTGCTCATACTGTAGCTCTCTATTCGGGGCCTACTGTTGGGAGCCAGCTATTGGGCTGCTCCAGAATGCGAATTACTTAGAGCTCAACTTCGGGGGGCGTACCTGACGGGGCCAACCACCTACACCTTCCTACTGCGGGGAGCCTCCCAGGAGCAAGGCGGGGTGGGGAAGAATGGCTGCTCCTGCGCCTCGGAGCCCTGCCGACCAAATATGGCACGTTAGTGTACATCCGCGACGCGTGTCATTGGGGCGGGTGGGTGGGAGGCAGCGGGGGCCTCGGGGCCCGCGCCGAGCGGAGAACACGTGATGCCAGCGCGCGGACACCAGAGAGCTTGTGCGAGTGGCCACATAAAACGATGCGTGGAGCATCGATTGTGTGTAGAATGCTATGTGCGAGAACCTGCCTGCGTGCGACACCCGGCATTTGGAACCCCACAAATCAGCGCGAAAACTGTAGTACGTGTGGAAACCATGTGTGGAAAACCCTATGCAAGCCGCCAGTGGTCTGTTTGAGCTACCCGCACGATGGGCGTCAATGCCACCTGCCAAACGGCCACTGGAGGGTGCCGCGGCAGCCGGCGTCCAACGCGCAACTTGAGCACTGTGCTGGGGCATCCGGGGCGCTTCAGCCATACCGCTGCCGCACAATCTTGACGCTTCGCGTATCCCCACCACAGCTCTGTGCCCCTGGCGTGAAGCCCGCTCCCTGACGTCTCCTTGGAGCCGCGAACCAAAAAAATATCCCCACCACGGCAGACTGCCACGTTGCATCAGCTTCCCTGGGCGTTGCAGACCACCAAGCCAGTCCCACCAGCAGCAGCCCCTCAGCCGCCGCTTCTGAGCGCTGGCCCGGCCGTCTTGCGCGTCGCTCAGTAGCTAATTTGGCTGGCCCGCGCCCCGGACCCCCCTCTCGGCGACAGCTTCACGCGTCTGCCCGCGACCAAAAAAAAGTATCCCCACCACGGCCCGCTTAGGTCTCGCCTAGGTCGCCGGCTCGTCTGAGTTAGGCGATTCGGCTCGTGCGCGGCCCGCTCGAAACCTACTTGCCGTCGGCGCTCTCGCCTGCGGCCGCGACAAAAAAAGTATCCCCACCAGGATAGGAGGACAGGGATGAGGACGAGGACAAGAAGAACGAGGAAGAAGAGGACGATGGGGACGATGAGGAGGAGGAGGACAAGGAGGAGGAGGAGGAGGCCGCGGAGGAGGGCGAAGACGAGGACGATTGGGAGGAAAACGACGAGGACCAGGACATTTGGAGCCATCTCGGGGTCTTCCGGACACTCTTGGGTTCCTTGTGAGGCTCCCTCGGTCTTTTGGGGTCCTCTTGGGACTCCTTGGGGGCGTACTGGGACCTTCTTGGGGACCCCATTGAGCTCGCCTGAGGGCCTCTCCAGGGCCCTGGCTCCGTTGGGGATCCTGTCCGCCCCCTGCAAGCGAGGAAGCAAGACGAGGGCGGCAGCCTTCGCTCCACGCGCGAGGGGCACAGCGGGACGCTGCGCTCGGGGGCACGCGCCAAGCCGCCCCCGTCACCCTGCTGCGCAAGCGCGGGGTGTGCTGCGCGCTCTTCCTGTGGACGGGGCGTGCTCACCGTCGCCCGGGCGGAGGCCGATGCAGATCAAACAAATGGAACGACCAATGTTTACCAGCCTCGAACGTATCGCTATCCCTAAGATCGACACGCCAAAAGGCGATGACAATCTTAGGGATTCGCCCTCAAAAAATAAGGGAATCCCTAAGATCGGCATCGTGATGAGGAGATGCCCAGCATAGGGACAGGGATAAGTTCCAGGCTGGTAAAATGTAGCGCCAGAGGCTCAGAGGAATCCCAACGGCCCAGCAGGAGCCCAACACGGTCCCAAGAGAAATCCCAGAGAGCCCCAGAGATGGCTCGACAAGCTCCCTGGGCTGATAATGCATCAAGCGTGCCCAGGCTGGCGAGGAGGCGAGAGCTCCATTCAGGGCTGGAATGAGACGGGCATGGTAGCGCGGTCCGCGCTAATGCAAGAACAGAAATTCGGGCCGGGAGTGTCGCCAGCGCCGAGGTGGGAGCACTTTTGCTTGCTTCTGCTTGCCTGCTTTTTACTCGAGCTGGGAGTGTGGCCAGCGCGAAGATGGCAGCCACACCTCCAACCCGTAGACGTGGGCAGATACGGGGAAGCACCGTCCAAGCATCGGTGCGACCCGCTCCCAAGCAGGAGTCGCACAACAACGCCCGAAAATGATTAGCGCAGCCAGGTGCAGGCACTCCATGTGGAACAAAACATTCGACAACCCCCCACTTGGGCCCTACCGCCAGCCCACACGACGAGCATAACTCGGGCGCATGACGGAAGAAACTGCCAGGGGCTGCGCGGCTCATGGGCTGCGCCAAGCACCGCGCCACAAACTTCGCCAACAGATGGTTGCGCCGCACGTCTCGCCGTCCGTGGGGTCGCGCCACGCGTTGCGCCGTAGACTGCGCACGCTGCTGCCGAACACAAACAGGCCCGCTGTCGTTTGCGCGCCAGAGGCTAGCTCCCGGTGGCGCCAGAGGTTGTGCACTCGGCGGCCCCAAACAATACCACCTGCCGTTGGTGGCGCCATCGTTTGCGTGCTTGGTGGCCCAAAACAAAACGACCAACGATTGGTGGCTCCATACGTGGCGATCTCGGGGTTCCCGAAACAATATTCCGCTAACAAGCGCAACCAATCAATCAATCAACTGTCTGTCAATCAATGAGCAGTCAATCAGCAAACTCCGCGAACAACACATACGGATACGGGCTGCCTCCAAAGTCAGACGCACAGAGCATAATTGATCATCCAACTGAAAGACATTATAGTATTGTTCGGCGGCGATCGAGGGGGGGAAGTGAGAAGGAGAATGCCTTTTCAGAGTGCGGCGGGACTTCTCAGAAACCCTCGAGCCTTCTGAGAGGTGGTTGGTGTCTTCGGGGAAGGCTTCGAAAACTTCTCAGAAGGCCGAGGGGCTTCCGAGCCTTCTGAGAAGGCCAGCCCCTTCTCACTTCCCCCCGTCGCTCGCCGCCGAGTTGTAAGGGTGCTCGTGCGATGGCCAGAACACTCTGCTGAGCACAGCCACGCGGCTGGCACCAGGCCAGGCTCATCACTCTGGCCTCGGAATGTGTCTAACGTTAGGTCGGGCGTCCCCCTAGAGGCAGATTTTGGGCGAAATATTAAAATCATCCCAGTGCGACCCTACCTAGGAGTTGGAGCCTCTAGGAAAGCAACATGCATGGAGCATACGTGCGCACACACACACATCCTAAATACATTCATACACATATACCTGCATGCATACATACAAACAGACATGCGTGCATGCATACATGTGCATACGTACATACATACAGACATACATACAGACAGGTAAACAGACAGACTGGCAGACAAACCTACACACATGCATGGATGCAGACATGCATACGTTCGTACATGCATACGTACGTACATGCACACATACATGCATGATGAGTGCATGCAGACATGCGAGCATACATATACAGCGCATTTACACATGCATGAGCATCCATATACATATATATATATATATAGCAGCAGCAGCATAAGTAGTGGCTGCTGTGCTGCGCTATGCTATGCTGTGCTATGCTCTGCTCTGCTATGTTACGCTGTCCTATGATATGCTATGCTGCGCAATGCTTTGCTGGGCTAGGCTAGGCTAGGCTATGCTATGTATGGTATGCTGCGCTATGCTAAGCTGCGCTATGCTATGCTATGCTACGCTATGCTATGCTTTTGCTTTGCCTTCGCTTTTGTCTTCACTTTTGCCCTTGCTTTTGCTTTTGCTTGGCACCCAGGGAGCGCAACTGGGGGAGCCGCGCGTTTGCTTTTACCTTTGCTGTTGCTTTTGCTGGGCTCCCAGGGGACCAGGGGAACCGCCTGGGGCGGGGTGCACTGCCCGGCCCCTATAAGCTGGAGAGTAAGAACCCTTCTAGGCAGAGCCTAGGTAGGGAAATACTCGAAACATTCCCCCAACTAGTCAACAAATCATCAAAACATAATCCCCGACTAGTTGCTTGTACTCTTCTTGAATGTTCCTCCTGTAGAGGGACTGGCCCGACTGAAGTCTAGCGCTATAGCGACAGCATCCTGCTGACCCGCGAGTGTGGCCAACGCTGCCGGGCTCCCCAGAGAGCGACGCGCCGCACCACCGAGAGCGGGACATCTGGGACCCCAAACGCGGGCCTGTCCCCCTACAGGGGGATTTTGGGCGAAGAATTGAAAAATACTCACAACATAGCCCAGCCTGGTAAAACAATACCCGACAAATCGTCCCCAGAGAATTTATGTAGTATTTTGGGATATTCCCCCTGTAGAGGGACAGGCCCACCTGAATCCTAGACTGGATACATGAGATTCCTCGCAAGGGCCAGTCTGAAGAATGTGTCGCACGTACCACGGGGGCTGCCGAATCCAAAACAAGCTAACTGGCGGACGCCTCAACGTGACTTCGCGTTTGATTTCGCTTTGAACGCAGCCGTGCAACCCTCGCGGCTCGATCTCACGTCGGGCATTGACCACGGTGCGCAAATGGCGCCACAGGCCAGGGCACGAGCGTCCGCGGCGCCTGCGTTGGTGGGGGAGCAGGCGTCGACGGTATTGCTGGTGTCGGTGGTGGGGCCGGCGTCGGCTCGCGAAAGAGGAAGAGGCAGAGATAAATAAAGAGAGAGAGAGAGAGAAATAAAGAGATCAATCCGCGGAGAGAGAAAGATGCCAGAACTGCAATTGTCTAGCAAGGACACGTACGCTCCCCTCCTCCTCCTCCTTCTCCTCCCGCCGTTCCAACCTTCGTATGTATTCCTCGATCTGGCAGCAACTCCTCGGAGCGCTGCGTGCATGAT